TAAAAAAATGGGGAACGAGAAAGTAAGAAGTGCATATCTCTATCTATAAAAGGCAGGATGTGTGTGTGTGTGTGTGTGTGTGTGTGTGTGTGTGTGTGTGTGTGTGTGTGTGTGTGTGTGTGTGTGTGTGTGTGTGTGTAACGAATGAACGGCCGCAATTTTCGACGGATTTGCACCAAAATTTACATTCACATGCTTCAAGTTAGCGGGAAGGCCAACTTCCATCGATAGTGGAAATAATCGATTTTTTCATGCTTCTACGCCAATTTTCATATAGTTTGCGGCCATTTTCTACTGGGCAGAGTGAGAGCCTATAGTTGGATGCCACGAATAAGCAGGAAGATTCTATTGGCCAGCGTGAGAGCCAACAGCTGACTGACACGAATGTTAACTAGCATGCTAGCATGGAAAAAAATCGATAGCTGCATTCGTCACAAGTGGGAAAAATTTAAATCTGCATGGCACTTTACTCCAATTGGCTCATTCGCTTGTTTAAACTCAACGTTGATTCTGATTCCGCAAAACTGGGTTGAGTGTGAAAAAGTATTTGTTGTTAACATTCTTTTTTCATTCGGTTTTTCCAGTTACGAGTCCTTTTTTAAAGCTGATCGGTTTGTCTTCATTTTGTTTAGTTCTTTTTTTGTAACGGATTTAATGTTTAGTATAGAGCTTAGAAAAAATTCGCAGTGTGAGACAATAAGTAAGGCATGTAGCAACATCAGCACGGAAAAGGGCACTCCTTTAAAGGCAAGGATGAGCAAAAATATTTTAAGTCAAGTGATAGCGATTGCTGTATGAGTTGTACGATTTTTGAATCAAGCACGGGCAACGCCGGGCCATGCTGCTAGTGTAGAATAGAAATGAACTTGAATAGGTTTTTTATTGTAACGATCGGAGAAGCTTACTTTTAGGAGTTTAGGGAAGAATCTGTTGAGCCGAACTTGCCAAAGGAACACGAAAGCAATAATGACATGCCATCATGAAAATGACAGATGGGTCCTAGCTGTGAAGATCTGAACTGGTGAGACTAAAAAATGCAACTCGTTTGAACATTTGCCATTGCAATAGTGATAGAATCATGGGAGACTAGCAACGTTTCGTCTGTGAGAAAATAATTCATCACCCACAAAGTTACGTATTCGCTTTTGAACTCTGTTAAAATCGGGCAGTGAGGACTGGGCAAGACCAACCCAGATATGGCAGCAATATTCAATTCTTGACCTGATCTGATTTTTGTAAAGATAGAGCATGGCAGCAGGAGAGGACAACGATTACACAATAGGCGTTAAGGGCGAGGAGCTACGTTGAGGACATGACCGCTCATCAAAGAGTGGAGCAATATTTAGGATCTGCTCGGTAGTCAAAAATGTAGTTACTGCGACTTATACATCAATATTTCATTTTCAACATTATTGAAATTAAATCAGGATGAATGCCATTAACTCTTTTATGATTGTCTCTTTTGAGTGCCATTGTTGAACTTTGTTTTTTTCGGCCGAGCCTCTTCCTTCTTTTTGTTTTTATCAAACTCTTTCAGCTGGCGTCCATTCTTGCCTTCTTCAGATATATGTCATGTTCAGTACGTTTCAGAGAGTTTCGAAGAGAACCATTTATTTCATATTGTGAATTATGTTACGCCCGGTATCCTTCCAAATTTTCCATTTCTATTTACTTACAGTATAAAATAAATAAATGTAATTTCTGATGTAGACAAAGTCATTCGGGATGTATACCTGCAAGAGCTTATTCGCTCTTGTATTTGAAATATTCTCACTGTTTAGAAATTATTCAGTGTGTATGCAAGCAATTGCGTGTGTTAATTCGACGTTAACCATGCAAACAATAGTTTTAGCAAGAAGTTAAAATCATGGTTCGCTTTGCTTTGTTCAGTTGGGTTTTTTTTTAGGACAGTCAACTATCAGTTATAAACTGACGGTCTATTTTGCTCTCCTTTTTAAGCAAAAAAAGAAAAAAAACATGAAGTAAAATTTCAAGATCCTACTTGCTGGAGGGGGAGACTAATGAGAGAAGGAATCGATGATAATGTGTCATGTTAATAAAGTCTGATAAGAATACGAAACAATTTTCATACACAAAATAATTGTTTATTCACTTCTGGACTCTGTCAAATTGACATCAGCCGAATCATTGGTATGTGGTTTCGGGTCTTTTCTTGAACGTTCGATCTTAAGAATACTCTCTCACTCTCTCCCTCTTTCTCCCTCTCTCCTCTCTCTCTCTCTCTCTCTCTCTCTCTCTCTCTCCCTAGAAAGAGTGATAACTTCTTCTTCTTCTTTAAAATGGAATACGGACAAAGTAGACTTGTCAATATAATTCAGTGTAAACAACTGCCAAAACAGTATAAACAACTATTTAAAAAATAAAATTGGTGACTGGTGACGTAAAAGTTAAAAAACTTTAGAAGAAAAAATGGATTCTATGATATACAGGGAGACAAGGAAAGATAAAATTCTGAGGAAATAAAAATGTTTTAAGGAAGGAAGTAAAATAAAAAATAATGGAAAAAGAACATTAAATTATATGAAAACACACACACACACACAAACATATGTGAGTGTGTGTAGACATTACTGAAAATAGATAGTTAAAGATATTATGATATAAATAAAGATGTTAAGATATATCTATATCCTAACACCTTTATCTATATGTAAAGATGTTACAGAAAAATATAAGTTGACTTGACCTGTTCAAGACTTAAATTTACGAATAACCTTCCTTTTGAACGTTGAAAAAATTCTTATAGCATCTTTTATAAACAAAATTCTAAACTTCCTGCCAAGTAGTCATTTTACTCAGATGCAAATGATGAAACGATTTATCAAACTAAATGAGAAACACCCTTTTCAGACGAGTTCTTACGTTGCTATATACACTTACTTTCCTTGCCTTCTATTTCAGATCGAAAGAGCAAAACCTTTTTCTCGGTCGTTGAGAATCAGATGGTTAGAACAGTCAATGAACTGGTCATGGTTTGATTTAAGCCGTAACCTTCTTTGCACGGGTCAGGGCTCATGAGAGTATTTTTACCCGAACAGTTTAGTCCTTAACGGAATATAATGGTTCACGAGCTACTGAAATGCACTGACCCTCTTAAGACGATGGATGGCTATCTTGAGATAACATCGTTATTTGAAAAAGAAAAACTCGAACGCCCAAATATATTCTTGCTTAAAATCACCGATATCACAAGTCACAAAGATACAAGCATTATTTACGTTTTATTTCTGGAGATTTAGATTGGTTTTTATTAACCTTTGTTGACACTTTTACTTTCATTAGCCTTCCTAAGTTTGTGATCAAACAGGAAGCAAGAAGTAACCAAGAATAAAGAGAAAACAGATCAACACATCTTGAGCGACGATGGAGATGGAAAGACGTTCAGACGAGCGAGAGGGATAAGAGAAAAATAAAGATTGGGCAAAAGGTAGAATGGTACAAGATAAATAGAATAGAGTTGTCAAGAACAGGAAAAAAACCAAGGAAAGAATCAAACTGAATATCTACTAAACTCGTATGTCATGTTACACTAATCTTTCAAATGGACAATACCTACTTTGAAAAATCAAAATACCGGCCTTCATTTGGGCTCGAACACTGACCAATGGAGTCAGATATACATCTAATTCAGCTATCAAGAAAGCATTCAATCACTTAAAAAATCAAACGTAAATTTTTTTCTAGATATTTTACATTGAATTAAGGTGATGTTTTCCATATACGATTCTTATATGCTTATGGGGTTTTATTTCCAAAACCCTAGGACTTGATTGAATGAATTGATAAGCAGATTTCAACATTGATATACCAGTTGAATTGTTGCAACAAATATATATTGTAAGGCACTACCTACTGATTGGTGATTTCTTGCTCCACTTGACGTCCATATTTTCTCCTCCAACTTCTGACTTTCTCCTTCTATATTTTATATAGTAGTCATTCCCTTGTTCAAATTTAAATTTAATTTAAATCAAAGGGAAAAAAATCAGTGAAGGGTGCGCCCCCGGGACACTCTTTGATCAACATTAAATATACTTATCCAAGTACACTAGGTAAGGTACTTTCAGAATATATATGATTACAGAGGTCTATCTCCAAAAACCTAGAAGAAGTTCGATAACAAACAAACGAACAGGCATAGTTATAAACTTTATATTTATATATATATATATATATATATATATATATATATATATATATATATATATAGATTGTTAATTACTACTCTCCCAAGCAAAACGTACACAACAGTATCAAGAAATAAAAAAAAATGGTTGAATCCGTAAATACAACAATAAAAACAATATCTCCACACGTGACAGTACTTGACGTAATTTTCAGTTAACAGTATGAATATAATAGCGTTCTCTAAATTCTTCCAGTTGCTAAGGACATTTTGTTTTGTTAATATTAGTTACTTTGTGTAATAAATTCATTTCGTTTTTGCCTTGAAAAAGTCCACATTGGACGAAACGCGTCGGCTAATATTACAGTTTTCCTATTGTCTTCTACATTTATAAATAGATTGTTAAGTAATGTAGTGAAATAATGTTTAAAAAGGCAGCCAAAAGAGGGGCCTGGTCATGAAATAACCGTTAGTAAGCTAATCGCTCGGAATCTTAAAGCTAACAAACTCGATCTTTTTCTAGCTGCCCCGCACTTTTGGCCTTTTGCTTTACTAAACTATGAAAGTTGGTAATTTATAGATAGATTATGTGATTTGTTTTTTCTGCTTATCAACATTTTTGAGATTATTTAAAGCCGAAACATATTTTTCATTGTAGGAATATTTTAGAGATAAGGATTTTTCAGAGAAAATTTTACTATTTAACCCATAGCTAGGAAGAGGTGGATTCATACCTTTCCCAAGGGTACTTGCGCATAAGTGAATATAATGAATCCTATTGGAACTTGAACTCGACTCTCTGATTTCTAATTCCGAGCCTTTATCCATTACACAGCCTGCATATCCAAGCTTATAGCAGCTGGTATCCCACAGTGGTCACCCATCGAGGTACTGACCAGGTTCATCGTTGCTTAACTTCGGTGATCGGACGCGAAACGGAGTTTCAACGTGATATGGCCTTAACCCTAGTAATTTATAGAGTAGATTTATAAATAGAAAAATCGCTTAAGACTTGGAAGTCGAGTGACAAAAGCAGAAAGAAATTAACTACATTACACATGGAACAGACGGACCGCGATATATTGACAAAGAGAGAGTTTAGAAATATGGTTGGAAAGGAAAATCAAATGATTAAAAATTAAATTAAAAAAGATAAAAACACAAGACAGTGACACCACTTTATCTTATCGAAACATACAGTGCAGTGTCAACACGACACCAACGGACTTGTAATCAGATAAGGGAGGTGAAATTGTTTTTCTGGGGTTACGGCTGACTTCTACAAATTCGTAATTTCGACCGTAATGGTGACCTTCAGAAAGAATCAAATATCAGACATACGTATGGCTTATATTTAAACCATCTCAGTATTACTGGTTTTACAAGCATACTTACATATTCTAAAGTAATATTCTTACAAATAGAATATGTGGATGGCGGGGATCTGTATGTTAATGTGTGTAAGCGCCAAAGGTGGAACTTATCAATCCTCTTTCATGGGCTGGAAACTAGATGACTTTCATGATGTTTCGGTGAACTATTTCAGATAACTGCTTTCACTGCCGGTGACTCCACTATAGTGAATTTCTCCATTTAGAGAATTATTGTCGCGAGTAGGGTAGGGGCTGGAGAAAGAAAGAAAGAAAGAAAGAAAGAAAGATTATGAAAAATGAAGAGAATGAGGAAATACCATGACAAAGAGAAAAGACGTAAAAGTAGAAATAAAGGAAGAGGTTACTGTAAAAGTGAGAGAAAACATAACTAAAGAACGATTAAAAAAAAAACATTAAAACATATACATTGACGTCTCAGAGCATTCACAATTTTCTCATACTTCCCCAATATTCTGTGTTCTCATTACCAAAATGTATGTACCTCCATGAGATCGCTAAAAAAAGAGCATAGCATGATGAAAAAGACGCCAAACTTGATGAAAACAAAATTTTATCGTCTAAATGTTTATATTATTATTAAGAGGAAAGATCAAAGTATTTTGGGGGTATTTTTTTTTTACATTTTTTAATCGTTCCTAGCACGTCCGAAATTGTCGTTAAATATCTTGTTTTTTTTGTTTTTTTTAGTCAGCAAAATTGACAGATAATCGATCATTGCAACCATTTTTTTCCATTTTATAAAAAAAATGAAAATCTCAGTTTGAAATTCTTTTAAAATTCAATTATCATTTTTTCAAAACTTATTTTAAGAAAATCAGAAATCATAATGTTTATTTAAAATAATGTGAACCAAGCTTAACTTCTGCGCTGAAAAGATGTAGTTTGAAAATAAAACATAGCAGGTTTTGCGTCACTTGACAGGTGATGAATGACGTATTGACGGATTACGTGAGGGTAATTTATTCTACGGAAGGAGAAAAGTGAAATTATTTAGATTTAATTGAACAAATTATTTATCTCATTATTTTTAAGGAAAACTTTCAGCGCTCTAATTTTTTCCTACTTAGCTTTCACCTTTACGTTTACGATGCTTTATGGAAAATATATTATAAAGAAATTAAAATAAGACTGTTAAAAGTGAGATTAAATTTCATAAGAAAGTTATCTAATTAATTTATAGGTACCTTTCTTATGAAATTTCATAAGAAGTGTACATAAAATACTATAATTTTATGTACATTTACTACATTATACTGTATTATTTGTATTTTCATTCATTTTATTATTAATTTTGATATTTCACTTCTGGAAAAAATGTCATAACTGAGATTAATATAAAAATAAGATCATATAAATTTCATAAGATGATACTGATACTTGTAGGTACCCTTCTCGGTTGAAATTGAAAAATCAAATTAACTTCTCCACATGTGTTTCACAAAAGTAAAGGCCTCAACAGCGGAAAATAATGCTTAACTCAAATAAAGCAAATTAATTGTATTCTGGTTGGTCTTCCGTACTTTATAATTACAGCCCGATTATAAACACAAAATTACACTTCTTAATTACTGCGGGTCTTCTGATTAGTCAAAACTATACAGTTTACAACGCGCTAAAAAAGATCTATTTCATAAGGACACTTACGAAAGTGGATGCGGCTTTTAACTAATTTTATAATATTTTAACAACTTAAATGTAAAAATCTATTATAATTAAAGAAATAACAAATAAATATATTAAAAATTCATTTTTCATAGTAAAAATTTTTTGCTTCCAGAAAATATATTCCACATTCATAAAAACAACTAAAAGCAAATAAAAGCATTTGAAATTAAATAATATCTTTATTTTATTGAGTTTTGTATGTTACAATTCAGAGCTGATTTTCAGGTGAGGGGTGTCCAATTAAAAACAAAAAAAATCATGATTTACATTTCTCAAAGCCTTGTGCTTTTAAATATTGTCATTACTAAACTGGATTGATCGAATTTCTACCGTTTTCATAAAATTAGTTATTGGGAGGGTAATAAATATAAAAAAATATTTCTGCCATGACTTTAATAAAAAAAAAACATATTTATAATAATTTCGATCATCTGGGAATAGTTTCTGAAAGTTCCATTAACATCCGACAATTGTTTTTATTTTTGCCAGATTTTCCAAATTAATGTGTGTCATACAAAAAAAAAACGTGCTAAAAATTGTATGTTATTTTACGAGTTCCGGTGATACAAAGAGAAACAAAGATTTTTAAATCAAAATTCAGAATGTTTTAAAAAGAAGGAAAAATTTTAAACAATAATTAAAATAAACTTTGATCTTTCCTCTTAATAATAACATAAACATTTAGACGATAAATTTTTGTTTCCGTCAAATTTGTCGTCTTTTTCATCATGCTATGCTCTTTTTTAGAGATCTCATGGAGGTACCTACCAAAAAGATATATTTTTTCAAATATTAAAGTATTTGGCCTTTAAATAAATTAGGACATGCATTTTGATCAATAAAAAACAAGATATTTTTTTCTTAACATAATGTTAACGCATTTTAATTAAACGACAATAACAACAAAACAGAAGCATTTTTAAGTATGTGTGTGTGTGATACATATATTTTTATATTAAGTATCATACATACATATATATATATATATATATATATATATATATATATATATATATATATATAGGCCACTCGTATTCAAGGATACACGTATACTAAGACGATTAGCCAACCCCTATTGCAGACGCTTGCTCAGACGCATTTGTGTTTATTCAACACCTACAGAGCCCACCTGTGGTTTATAATGCAACTATGCAGTACACACACACACACACACAGACACATATATATATATATATATATATATATATATATATATATATATATATATATATGCGCACTTGGGCGAGTGGTTAGAACGTTCGCATTCTGACCATGAGACCATATATATATATATAGATAGATAGATAGATAGATAGATAGATAGATAGATAGATACCAATTTTAGCACGTCACGATCTTGGATGGGGAGATATGGGGGTAGAAAAATTGGTTGGCGCCAATTTTCCAAGTGTAAAGTTAACCTGCTTGGAATAACATCAATCAGCATTTTGACTCTTACATGGGATCAAACACAGACCATTGACTCCGGTGCTAGATACGCAACAATCTAATTCACTAAACAGACTTCTAGTAGTCATGTTCAATTTAAATAATTTAAATGATTTCTATTCTTTAGCAAACAAGAAGCTATTTATCAGAAGTCAATAAACGCTTTCTCCGCCTACGCCAGACGGACAACTCGACTGAAGAATTTAATCTTGCCGATGTGACCTCACAAGTGGCCCAGGCTTGCTGGTAGATGAATGATTTCATCGAATCACCATCCCTAGAATAGTTGCCAACCAAGGTTATAGAACCCAGTCTACCCTGCTATTTAACCCATGACTATCTGTCAATAGAGTATAGGTGAATTCCGAACATTGCCGTCGGTGGCGAACTGTAATGCCAGAGGATGGAAACCTGGAGGCTGAGCCGTCCATGATCCGGGTGTATAAGTAATCAGGAAAAAAACTCCTATTTGACCCTTACTTGGTAGGAGAAGCAGCTATATAATTAAATCCGACATTTTCTCACAAACTGATCACATCACGATCTAACACCCAACCCATTATTATTTTAAAAGTGCTGGAAAGCTGAGGGTCAATCGGGTCGAAGAGAAAGAAACTTTGACCACTCTTGGAGTATGAGGTACTGAAGATCAAAATTAACAGGGGCACAAAATCCTCTTACGACGAGAGTATACTGGCAGATGTATCCCCGTCTCAAACAAGGCGAATGGTAAATTCCTAGTAGTAATTGAACTCCATGGTGGGCGGTGGAGCACAAGACCAATAAAAAAAATCACATCGCAAATTTAAATTAATCCCCAAAAGGAATCTCTCTGACACTGATTGAGAAATAGAAGCCGGAACGGAATCTCTAACAATCGAATCTCTAGAGGAAACACATCTGGCCAATCTGTCACCATTCTTGATCGAAAAAGTAATTACCATCAGGACAAATCCTCGAGCAGTGAAAACAATTTTTTTAATCGGTATCACCCCCAAGCAAGGCAGTACAGCCACTAGCACGCAAGGTTACAGGGTGTAGAAAAATTAGGAACAGAAACATTAGCAATGAGAAGAAAGAAAAGAGAAATCGGAACCGTAGATAGCGATTAACACTGCATTGAAATTTTTGCAGATTAAAGTTGGTTTGAAAACAGAGTGCCTGGAGGGATTTCCACAAGCGAGAAGTGCGGGATAAGAAACTGTTAGCATATAACTAACGGCTACATCTAGCTAGCTCAACTGTAAATTGATGAAATCTCGTCACCAGTCTAGTATTGCGTTTAGGTACCATAGCGTAGAGTTCAGCCGAATAATTACCATGAAGGTGTTTATAAAAAAGGCACAGAGAGTCAACCTTACGGCGGTGGGCAAGTGACTGATGCCGTGCCAGTAATTTGCTGATTCTTCTTTGGAACTTATCGAGGATCAACAGGAAAATAGCAGGGGCACC